CGGCACGTGGGATCCTCCCAGACCAGGGCTCGAACCCGTGTCCCCTGCATTAGCAGGCAGATTCTCAACCACTGCGCCACCAGGGAAGCCCCCACTTGAGATTTTAACAGAGCTGTGAACCCTGACAAGTCATGCATAATGATTTGCAATCTCAGAGAATATTTGTTTGGTATTAAAATGCCTTATTAAATGTTTCAAATTGATCTTCGGAGACTTTCAGGAAAGTCCCCTCTGTTTCTCATTGATATGTAATGTTACAAAATGTGTGCTGTTTATAAAACAGTAGTACAAAAAGAAACCACATGGAAAGACTGACACAGGGCAGTCCCAAAAGGAAACAAGACAAGTTTTATTGTAGAAAAGAGATCTTGAAAGCTTTTGTATGTACTTGAATCTTTTCAGATTTGTTTCAAACATCGGCTGAGAGGCTCTAAACCCTAGCACGGGATTAGCTAAGTGTGCACCGTAGGAAATATTTAACATGAAAATATTATACACTAAATAGCCGATGAAACTTTAAGATGCAATGTTTCTGTGGTTATTGTTTTTAATGAAAACAGTTGTAAAAATTAAAAACGCTTATATAGCGCTTTTTAAAGTTTTCTTTGATTGGAAGCCAGTTATGTAGGGAAGGGACTGTTGGTTTAATATCTATTGACCAAATCCATATAATAATTTCCAGAGAAAATTAGATTCTTATTTTAATATTCTAGTGGAATAATGGACTTTTAGGTATCTTTACGTATTTTTAGGTATCATTACGTATTTTTAGGTATCTTTACGTATTTTTCTTTGGAAATCTAGCACTGTAGAGGATAATGATTTTCTCTTTTCTATTATGTACACAGTTAGGGCCCATAGCATGAATAAAGGAATTGAATTGTCCAATGTGGGATACTTTTCTCATACATAGATATATCCATACTGATAATTTTTTTTTCACTTAAACTTTTAACCAGGAATAAAAAAGTCTTTATTAAAATGATCAATGTAACTGATTAATTTACTTAGAATGCTAATAGGTGGATCACTAGTAATGCCTAATATTCAGAAACAAAATCAAATACCATTAATACCATCTACTTGTGAGATTAACTTTTGATTTTATCTCCTTTTTGATGTTCTGGCATCAAATAGTCTAGGATATTATCAGTCATTTTTTTCTTGGCTTGTAACTTCAGACTCTTGTCCAGAGTCAAAGAACAACCGTAAATTCTGAGAATAAATGTCACTTCCTTCCACTGCAGCTGTAGCACAATGTATCAGTTTGCTAGGGCTGCTTGCACCAAAGGACCACAAACTTGGTAGCTTAAACAACACAAGTTTATTGTATCACTGTTCCTGAAGCTAGATGCCTGAGGTCAAGGTATCAGAAGGGCCATGTTCCCTCTTCAAGCACTGGAGAAGCATCTGCTCCAGCCCTCTCATCCAGCTTCTAGTGCTTTGCTGGCAGTCTTTGACTTACCTTGGCTTGTGCAAGTATCACCTTGATCTCTGCCTTCATCTTCACATAATGTACTTCCTGTGTGTGTATGTGTGTGTGTGTGTGTCTGTCTGTCTCCCTCTAAATTTCCTGTTTTTATAAGGACACCAGTCAGGTTAGGGTAGGGGCCCAAACTACTGCAGTGTGACTTCGTCTTAATTAATTACATCTCTAATGACCCTATTTCCTAATAAAATCACTCTTAAAGAACTGGAGTTCAGAAATTCAACATATAAATTTTGAGGGAAAACAGTCCAACTCATAACACACACCCTAAGGTGTTTTATGTTTTTATTATTTATGTATTTCTAATGAAAAAAAAAAAAAAGCCTTTTTTTCCTTAATGTAAAAGAACTTCCAAAAGAACCAATGGTTCTTAAAATGTTCCCATCAAACCTTCAAATAAACAAGAAAATAAAATAAGTATAATGTTTTCCTTTTGGTTTAGATCTCCTTGGTAGCGAATCTTTTAACAGTTTATTTTCCACCCCTGCTATTTAACTCACTCCTGCTGTATTCTGGGGCAGGTTGATTTTTGGTTGAGTTGTGCTGTGCATATACCTGTTCTCCCTTCAGCCAGCAATCTGTTTACTCAAAGTGGCAGACTGATACCTTCAGATGCCACCAAATACAACGATAGAGGTAATTTACTGTTTTTGCTTACACACAAATAGAATTGCCCACTACCCTTGAGACCAACGGTACAGGGGTATCTGTGATTGATAATGACCATACTTTTTGACCACGGTAGATAGAGTATATTTTCTTTCTCTCCTCTGGAACTCTTTTCTGCTCTGCCCACTTCTTTTCGGTACTTTAAACCATCACTTAGTCAACACCACCATACTACTTTTATTTCTTTTCTTCCTCCTTTTCTCCTTTTTCTTTATTTCATTTGTCACTCCACTCATGCATCGCAGCTTTCATTTAACAAGCCTGGGCTTTTAAAGACAGCTCAAGCGAAGCAGAGCACTCTTTCTTTCCTGTGATCGTCCAGCCTGTCACAGTAAATGATGTGTGATCTTGCACTATTTGCCTTTCCCAGTTTTCTTCATGGAATGGTTGCTGTGGGGCTACAGTTTAGACATTAAAATTATTTAGACCTAAATCACTATTGTAAGGCCACAGCAAGTTTTAAAACCTGAGCATTTTATAACTGTGGTTTCTTAAAAGATGGCCATTATTTTACTGCTTTCTATCTATACTGTTTTTTTGTTTTTTGTTTTTTTTGAATCCTAGTAATTCTTGTATGCCCAGTACGAAAATCATTTTTCCTATAAGATCAAAGATTTGACTGGTATAATTTTATAACATTTTAACCATATTATGGGCTTTTTTACACATTTTAGAGTCTGACGTGGGTACCTACTACAGATTTTAGTTTCTTCAATGAGGTACCAAATGAAAATGCCTCCCTCCTAAACCAACATTTTTGGGTAAATATCTACCTACTGGTATTCTCTGAACAAGCTGGAGAGATGGATGTGGGTATGGAACAGGTGTTGAGATGTCACAGAAGAAGTCTTTAATGTTCTATAGTAATTATTATACTTAGTCATGGAAGAGGTAGTCTACATGTGACTAGCTCTGGAAAGTTCATCAAGCCAGAAATCATAGTGCTGTAATGAGAAAAATTATGGTACACATCCAAGCCCAAATAAGGCTGTCTAAGAATGGACTAACGGTGAAGCAAGAAGATATACATTTTAAACTTTAAAATTTGAGGTCATCATAGATTCACATGCATTCATGAGAAACAATATAGATTTCTTGTACCCTTTACCCAGTTTTACCCCATGCTTGCATCCTGCAAAATATCCAATATAAAACAATATCATAACTAGGTTATTGAAATTACTTACCAATTTTATTTAGATTTCCCTAGTTTTACCTGTGTGTGTATGTATGTGTTTAGTTCACACGTATCCATAATCAAAATACTGAACAATTCCAGCATCATCATTATCTCTCATGTTGCCCTTTTATGACCAAACCCACCCCTTTCCACTCCTTCTTTCCAAGACTCTGGCAACTACTAATCTGTCATCCACTTCTAAAACTGCATCACTTCAAGAATGTTAAATAAATGGAATCATACAGTATATAGCCTTTGAGGATTGTCTTTTCCCCTCCTGGGTATGATTCCCTGAAGATTTATCCAAGTTAGTGCCTATATTAATATTCTGTTCATTTTTATTGCTAAGTAGTATTCCATAGTAATACTGTACCATGGTTTGTTTAACCATTTTCCCATTGAAGGATATCTGGGCTTCTTCCAGTTTGGTGCTACTAAGAATAATGTTGCTGTGAATATTTGTAAATAGGCTTTTATGTGAGCATATATTTTTATTACTTTAGCATAAATGCCCAAGAGTACAATTTGCTGGATTGTATGGTAAATGTATGTTTGTTTATTTAAGAATTTTCTAAACTTACATTTCCACCAGCAGTGTATGAGAGGCCTCATTTCCTGCCAGAATTTTGTGTCACCATTATGTTTTATTATCCACAATTAGAAATTTCTCTTAGGTATAACACAATCCTTTTCTTCTGAGTGTGCATAATTACTAGTTATATTTTTGCTTAGCATCTCAATGTAAAAATACTATTTAGAGGCCAAAATCATGGCATTTTATTAAAAATCTTTATACAGTCATCCCTCAGTATCTGCAGGCAATTGGTTCCAGGACCCCGTGGACACCAGAATCTGCAGATACTCAAGTCCTGTAGCTGGACCTCCATATCCATATCTGTGGGTTCCATATCCAGAAATTCAACCACAGCAGATCATAACATAGTACACAATCAGCAATTGGTTGCATTTGTGGATGTGGAACCATATATATGGAGGACCAACTGTACATTTATGTTCTACTAATAAGGATTGTCAAATGAACTTGGCATACTAAGTCTATGAACTTTTCTAGGATCCTTTGAAGGTACAGAAAATGTTTTGCTTAAAGTTATGTCTGAATTCCAACATAGAAGTAAAAACTTTGTAGTTAAGTAGATATTAGACCCTTAATATGTGTCAAACCTAAATCATAGACTTAACTATGTCAAACCTAGTTAAGTAGATATTAGACCCTTAATATGTGTCAAACCTAAATCATAGACTTAACTACTAAAATTAAAAACTGAAAATTGTCAGTACCCCCAGCACTGTTCAATAGTCAACTGTACACTCTCAAAATACTTTTGATTTTTATCCCCAGTTAACACCTATTTGACCCAACCCGATGCTGATTATGTGAGGGTTAAAAGAGACCCTTTATAATGGTATCAGCATATAAAGAATCATATTAAACTATCTGAAACCAAACACTCCATTCTGGACTCTCATTTAGGACAATTAGTGGCAAGGAAATAAAGCGGGGACCATGTTTGAGAGGTAAATCTAAGAAATTCAAGAAATTATCACTCTCCATAAGTATTTCAGCATTACCTTTTTCTGTGTACAAATTAATCATGTGTTTAATGCCATCACACACTAAAATTTGTTTTCCTGAATGCACAGGTACCTCTGTTCTACAGGTGACAGCCACTGATGCAGATGACCCTACCTATGGAAACAGTGCTCGGGTGGTTTACAGCATTCTCCAGGGACAGCCCTACTTCTCTGTAGACCCTAAAACAGGTTAGTGTTTTTATGGATAATTTGTGTGCAGATGCATGCTACAATAAAAGAAAGCAATATTTTTATGTCTGTGTACTCTTCTACATTAGACATTGTTATTTTTGCACATTAAAAAATGCCCTCACTTTTTCTAAAACAATGTGATTGAATAACTGAAGATAAATTAACTGCTCTCCTTAATATTTCATTATCCATCATTTATATCCATACCAGTAAAATGCTTCTTATCTTTGCCTATTTCTGTGACATTTAAATAAATGCTGTCTATTTAAAACAGAGGTTACATAACGCTTCAGCCCTCAAGTATTTTGTTACGTAAAACAAATTAACTGAGAATAAAGCCAAACACATATAAGCATTTGTTAAGGAAAAATATGAATTCTGCTCCACCTCTTCTCTTTTCTGTAGCCAAAATAATCATATCATATTATATTATGTGATGCCAAAATGAAAATGAAGGATACTCAAAAATTCATTTTAGGGCTATATTATAGCAGCATAGTCTAAAAACCACAAAAACTCATGGCCTTATTGACAATTTGTAAATAGAAACTTGGCTAAAGCTAAATATAAACCCATTTTTAATGTAGCTAAATATTCAGTAGGAAGTGTTTCTAGCTTAATAAACAGTTTCAAGAACGTACATAATCAGGAGGCACAGATGGAGCAGAGCGAGGTCCAGGATATTCCAGCAGCTTCCTGGAAGTCCTTTCTGGTCATGTGAGATGAATTCTGAATCAAGTTAACATCTGGGATCTTCAAGTAAATGGCACTGCCACATAACTAACACAGAAGAGTCATATTTGGTCATAAATATCCCCTTATCCTCATGTTGTTACGTAGCATACAACAATTTTTCAGGGAACCCTGCTCAATAAGTCTACAGATTACAGTTTATTAACCATTGTCTCAGGCAGTGAGGTACATCAGCTGAAATGATGCTATGGACAATCATACTACAATAGTTAATGCCATTAGATTGCTAGGAGGATTGTCATTATCACGTTTACAAGAAGGTGCCTTCTCTCTTTCC